TTTCACATTTGTGTTTTTTAAAAAGAAGTTCATATCCTGTAGTTTTTACACATCTAATGGTAACAAAGGCTGAGATGTAGTGAGCAAAGATGGATGTTTTGATCTTCTATAGCTCTGTTCTAATTAAATCTGACATCAATGTTAATAACACAAATGTTCATTTATTTTTTATAGTAAAGTTCATCAAACAACTTAACAAACATTCTTTGGCTTTCATAGAGCATAAAGCCTATAATATTATTAAGATATAATATTATTATGGACCTTATAATTGAATTATCAGGATAATTCCTAATAATATAACATTCCCATTAACGTCAGACAATGTATCTGCCTCAATAATTATCTTGTATCCATAGTTGTTAATATTTGGGACAGTATGCTACATAGTTTTTGTTTTGCAGACTGCAAAATGTGATCATATCCAGACTACCACCTTTAAACTAAGGAGCATTTTGTTCACCTCAAAGTCATAGAAGTAGTGCTACAAATCAAATTTGGTCATATTTGTGATTAAAAGGTTTAAAAATCTATATAAAAGTATGTAAAGCAGACTTCCAGGAGCAACATCAGAAGCAGTGGGACAAAGAAAATATAATGTGCTGAGAGAAAGTAGCTACCAGCAGCTACAAAATAAGATGTTATTTATTAATGTCAGCTATTCACTATATTGGAGTTACTATGACGTGACAATAATTTGATCACAAAATAATTATAGAAAAATCCTTTACAGCTGCTCATTTTAAGAATGATGTAAGCATTTGGTGCAGATTGTTAGCCAGCATACCACATTGTTTTGACTTGCTTATTAATTTTTCAGATGCCATAAAATTCTGCTTTTAATAATTGATTGAATAATGTTTTTTTTTTTTTTAAATGTATGTCATTATTCTACTACTTATTTGTTTCATATTAGGGAAATTGCCATGAAATTCTCCATATAAAAACATAATAAACATGATTATATTGAAATTAAAGAATTTATACAACACTGCTGTGTTTCCTGGAGGACGTTGGACTGAAAATAACATTTAGATTAGGATTAGAGAGAGGAGTATCATTGTACGAGTGACCCACCTGTCATATAGAAGTCCTTCACAGTAAGCTGTGGAGGGACTAAAGGTCGAGTAAGGACAGCCTGGTTCACTGCCTGAAAGGGATAAGCCAGATATCGTCGTCACCATGGAGAACAGTGTGAAACAAACTAAAATACAGCTTTATCAGTGCATTCTCTGTTATCAACTAAACACATGCTGGAGGAAGATAACAGCTGACCTTAGACAGCTCATTAGCCTGCTTAAAGTAGTTGGCCTCCTCAACGTTGTCATATCGCACCAGATTTGGGGAAACCTCTGCCAGCCTATCACGCACTTCATCAAGGGTGTCATATGGCAGAGTCACTCCAGCAAGCTTAAAAAGGCACGGGAAAAATACACAGGATTTAGTCTTATTCTCATTATTTTATAAAACATGATTGTCTTTTATTGTAGTTCACCTCAGATATGGCCCTGATGATCCTCCAGTCCTCCCTAGCCATGCCTGGAGCGGTCACAGCCACTTTGGTCTGCTGCGCACGGCCTTCAGTGTTCACATAGGTGCCACATTTCTCAGTGTATGCAGCTCCAGGAAGTATGATATCAGCCATTGGTGCACCGACATCGCCATGGTGACCTGAGCAGTTATGTCAAATAGCATTACAATTGAGCACAAAAAGGTTTAATGCTCTTCTAACCATCCAATGGCCCCGTGTGTATTGTATGGAAGCGCCTGCATTCATTTATGTTGATTTACTCATTGACTCAGGTTCTTCCTTTGCCACCCTACTGTACATGCAATACATGATGTCAGGAATTGCACTGCCTCTCTCAGATGCAATGCTTACATTTATGTAGATGAAAGAGCTTCTGCTGCTGTGCAGTGAAACAGCTGACCTTGATAAATTATGAAGCTATCCTTAGGGAGGTCCTGGCGAGTAATGCAGCCTGCATCAGCTCCCAGTAGGAACAGAACTTTGGGCGGGTTCTTTCTGATAGCCTCCACTCCTGGCTTGTACCCAAGATCAAGTGCAGCCACTTGACTGGCAACCCTAAAGAAACAGGCACACATATTACAGCAGAAATTCCTCCTGAACACTGTCCTTTTATTTAAAGCTTCCCCTCTAATTTGCCAAGACTATGACCTGTGAAGCACATTGAGAACCTTCCAGGTTTCCTCCACCCCACTGCTGACGCGAGCATTCTGCGCGATGGTTGATACAGCAGCCATTATTGCGGCCCCATCCTCTCTCTGCAGGCAACTGCTTCCAACTACAACAACAGGATGCTTGGCTTCTGCCAAGACCTGCAAGGTGAGACAGAAGACACAAACATCAGGAGGAGACATTCAAGTTCACCAATAACATTCTCTGTATTACTGAGAGTGCTCAGAGAGTTACTTGGGAAAACGGGTGAGTTCCTGAAGCAATTTCTTGAAGAACCTTGGCAGACTCCCCAAGATGGTCATATGTGTAACTTAGGTCCACTTCCTTTCCCAAAAGAGCCACTTGTAACTCATTGTGAAGCCAGCTGAATGAGAAGAACATATTAACGAAAGTGCCTTTTTGTTTTACTCAGATTTAAGGAGATTTACTCAACTGTATTTAAACGTACCTTTTTCTGATTCGTGCATTGAAGAGAGGAGCCTCATAGCGTGGGTTTGTGCCAACCAGAAGCAGTAGATCAGCTTCTTCAATGCCAGCAATCCCAGTGTTTAGGAGATAGTTTGAACGCAGGTCAGATCTAAAGAAGCCAAGGTAAAGACACAAAGATCAGCAGTAGTTCAACAGGCTTTGTCCCATCTTCTCTTTTACTCTTTCTATGGTCTTACCCAGCTCCAGCCATTGGAAACACCTCCTCAGTGCACAGGTTGTCACTATTGAAACGATTCAGCAAGTCTTTCAGGGAAATGAGAGCCTCTGCATCCACCAAGCCTCCGACGACAGCAGCAACACCATTTCCTTCGACTCCTTGCAACTGTCAAATAAAACAAAAGCTACAGACGCGGCTTAGGACAGCCTACAGCTACAGAAGGTAATTTCCTCATAAATTACATACTGTTCCAGCAACTCGAGTCAGCGCATCTTCCCAGGTTGTAGGAACCAACTGGCCAGAGTCATTTTTCACCATTGGCTGAGTAAGCCTCTGCCTCTTGAGTCCATCATAAGCAAACCTGTCAGGATGAAGCAGAGTTCAGCACTGATGCAGACATCATCCACAAATCTACAATATGTATGTGAAGCAAACATTGTGTCATAAGAGAGGAACCTGGTTTTGTCGGAGATCCACTCCTCATTGATATCCTCATTAATACGAGGCAGGATTCTCATCACCTCACCCCCACGAGTGCTCACCACAATGTTACTGCCCACAGCATCCAGAACATCGATGGATTCAGTCTTCCTGCAGGACACCAAAGAGAAAAACATCAGTGTAAAGGCTAACATTTCATCCTTAAAAGTGAAGCAAAAATGTAGAGCACAATCCAGAAACCTTGTCTCCCACGGGCGGGCAGTGAATGCATATGGCTTAGACGTCAGGGCCCCCACTGGGCATATATCAATGACATTCCCAGATAGCTCCGACATGAACATCTTCTCCACGTAGGTCCCGATCTGCAGGTCATTGCCTCTGCCAGTGGTACCCAGATCCTCCACACCTGCAATCTCACTGGCAAAGCTGAACAAAAAGAAAGTACTTCATATAAATATTCAATATACTCTACTGTACTGATACTGTAGATATTGGTGTGGGACTCACCGCACACAGCGAGTGCACTGGATACAGCGAGTCATAATGGTTTTGATGAGAGGGCCAATGTTCTTGTCCTCCACAGCTCTTTTGCCCTCTGTGAAGCGGCTCCTGTCACTGCCAAACTGCATGGACTGGTCCTTCAAACGCAATGGTATTCAGTCTTATTAATCAATCCTAGAATATGAATCCTAAAGTAAACAATGTCAGCACACTCAAGTGTTTGAAGACTGTGAACACATCTTCACGGCTGGTGGTTATCTTTACCTGTAGATCACATTCTCCCCCTTGATCGCAAATTGGACAGTCTAATGGGTGATTAGCCAGTAGGAACTCCATCACACCCTCTCTGTGGGAAAAGTAAACAACAGATTTAAATACAATTCTTTCCACTTTGTTTTTGTTTTTTTGTGAGAGATGTGGGCTTTCAGTAATATGCAATGTCATCAGAGAAAGCCTACACTGTCGAACTTGTGAGTTTGATCCTACCTGGCCTTCCTTGTTTTCTCAGAGTCAGTTAAAATATTCCAGCCCTTCATCACTGGCATGGCACAAGCAGCCACTGGCTACAAGACGAATGAAAAATGATTCCTGGTTATTTTAAGTAGGTGTCTGTCATACTAGGCAAAGAAATACTGAAACGCACACACTTACACACAGTCTAAAACATACCTTAGGAACTTTCTCGACCTCCACGAGACACATGCGACAGTTTCCAGCCACTGACAGGCGCTCGTGGTAGCAGAAGCGAGGAATCTGCATTCCTACCTTCTCACATGCCTGTGACAGATTTGAGTCGCCGTGTTAAATCTGATAGTATGACTCAACTCTCGTATAACTGCATGCGTGAATTTACCACGAGGTTACCTGCAACACAGTGGTTCCTGGCTCCACCATGACAGGTTTCCCATCCACGAACACCTCCAGGAGGTTACTGGCGGCTGCTGTTGCTGTAGCTGCGGTGCGAGCTTCAAGCACAGACAGAAAACATTTTAATGCATTCTTCAGATTTTATTTTCATCCAAGGACTGTAAAGCAAGCAGTTACATGAATAATCATCATTTATATCACATTATATTACTACTATATCACTCCTGGTATTACAAAGCAATAATAAATGAGTGCCACTGAATACTACTGGCTAAATTAAGCCAGCAAAGGCCTGGCACTAAATGTGGTAGCTGGCAAATCTGTAATCCTGCCTATAATCCATCAGGGGAACAAAGTGACAAGAGCTCTGGTCCTTGCACACAAACAACAAACAAAACGGGTGTTGTGGTGCAGAAATACAAGACGCACATTGTACGTAAGGAAGGCATGATCAATTAACCAGCTGATGAAGTATGAAGCATATTGTTTACCATTGTTAGTTGCAGCCGCGCCTCCTTTGGTAACAGCTGCTGGAAAGAGACTCCGGCTCACCACGGGCAAACGCAACATGCTGGAGGAGAGAGGCAGCATCACGTGTGAGGTCGGGCTCCTCCGGTTGACACACTTTTGTAAAATGTCGACAAATCTTAAAGACATTAAAGCCGGAGAACCGTACAGCCTCCATTTGACTAACGTTACCATAACAACAACAGAAAGTAGCCACCTTAAGGTTAAGTTAGCAGGATTAGCCAATTCATGCTGCGTATTTAAATAAATAATAATGAGCCTGTACAGGTATAAAGACATATATCACATTTACACAGCCTGCATTACGTTATAAATGTGACACACTAACGTTAACTGTATGTAACGTTGGACTGACGTTAGTTAAACGATGTGCCCAGCTAACGTTAGCCAGTATTGATGGAACGTTAACGTTAATCGTTAGCTGACTGTTAGCGTTGTTACATTCTAACGTAACGTCCACAAGACACACCAACTGTCACTGGAACGGTGTATTTCCAACGGTTATAAACGTCTGCGCCGTTAAATTCAAACCCACACATTCGAACTAGCATATCTTCTAACACATAACTTGACTTCCAGCCGGTTAAATTTCACCACTTTATTCAATCATGAGGAGCCCTTTCTAGCGTCCGTGAAGCAGCTGTGTCCGAACTATTAATTGTCTACATACTTAATGATATTGTCCTAACCACTACGGTGAGCAGTCACCTACCTTAACAGTGTCTGTCCTCATGAGACTGCCTGCGACGCAGATTGCGCACTGTCTTGTTATTGTGCTGCGTCACGGATTAAGTAATCCTGTATACCATAATCCAAATAGAAAGGCTACTTTCCCGTTACATGCTGATTAATCTAATCATACAGGTAATAAAACACTAAACTGTTAACAGTGATGTGAAGTGCTCCCTTTTGAAGATCCTCGTCTTTTCTAGGGTTCAGTCAATCTGTGGCAGGCTGTGGGGATGTGGTTCACTGGATGGAGTAGCAGGGCTTTCAAATTCAATTTGTTTCATTGGCTCTCACTTTAATTTACATTACACATCATTCAAAAAGATGGAGGTCCACTTGAGTTGTCCATTAAGTGCCATGAGGGTAGGCTGACTGTTTAAAGAGGGTAAAATGTTTGATTTCTGATTGCATGTTTACAATTATTCCGGGGATTCAACCCAGCAACCTTCCAGTCACAGGATGAGACCTAACAATTATGTAATCTCTAAAAGTCAGAGTTCAACACAGAGAAATAACAGGAAATGGCTGGATCTGTAAACACGCTCTCAGGAAGTGGAGTTATATTCACATCTGGGTTTACGTCTGGCTCGGGTATACTCACTAGGCCTGTTTAAATCCACCTGGAAATGTAGTCTCTGTGTACATAAAACATCAAAGCCTGCTTTTTTTAATGCGGTTACAGACTATTCATCAAGGCGAACAATAAAAAAGAAGTTATTCAAACAAACTGTACTGTACTGTAGGTGTTTAGAAGAAGACATTTATTACCATATATGCCTTTAACTTGGAATATATTAGAATAAAACATTTATACAATTCTCAACTAGTTTATAAATCTTACAATATATATTAAAAGGTAACTAGCAGCCAGTATAATACTGTAATAATACTGAGTATAAATGCAACGCATTAGCATCTTTAAGAACCAAAGATGCCATGATCCAGGAGTACAACAATAAAAACATTTTGGTAAATACATAAAATGCATTTGATGTAAACAACTGATGATTACCTTCATTATTGATTAACCTGTCAATGTCTTTTATTGGACAATTTGTGAGCAATATGATTTAAACAATTCACCAATTATCAAAATAGTTTTAATTATCTGTTGATCCACTGATCGGCAGTTTCATCTGTAATGTTTAATCTCGCCTCTTCACTCTATAAATCACTTGAGTCATGCAAATGAAAAAATAAACAGGACGATGAAAGATAACTCCATGTAGACGTTATACACTGTGCGGCTCAGCTTTTCCATTGAGAGTAATTACACATTACTCTGTCCAAATGAAACAAAATAGGAAAATCTTAACACTAGAGCTGGAAAGAACAGCTATGATAATCCCCCACATTTAAGCTTAAGTAATAGCCAGTCTTAGCCTCATACTTTTCACGGACTACTACTACAGTCAGAGGACGGTTGTAATCATAGAGTTGATGACTCCACGGGCTCCTCTGGGACACTGTCCTGCTGAACTCCTGGCACAGACTCTATGTCAGTGGCAGAGATCGACTGGCTGAGCTCTCTCAGTGAACTTTTAGTTAAGTTAAAGCATGCATGCTTCAGGATGTGACGCACCTTTTTGCCTAGGAGCATATACAGCAGGGGGTTAATGCAGCTGTTAAAGAAGCCCAAGCTTGTGGCGAGAGGAAAGCCGGTTTTCAGTATGTCGTGTAGGTACAATGAGGAATGTATGGATAACTCCATCAGGCTAAAAGTATGAAACGGTGCCCAGCATAAAAAGAAGGCCAGAATCACCGCAGAGACTGTTTTGGAGAAGCTGGACAACCGAACCGAGCCCCCGGATTGATTCACTTTGATGGTCAGAAGGATGCCCGTCACACATATCGCAGTAAAAGGCAGAAGGAATCCCACAGTGGTGCGAATGGCCACTATTATAATGTGTGTCATGGCCGCGATGTCTCGGTCCTGTGTGTGGAAGTTGTTGAAGCACACCACCTTGTCATGTAGGCGCATGGTGTCGCGAAAGATGAGCGCGGGGCAGCTCAGGGCGGCAGCTATCACCCATATGCAACCACACACGACCCAGGCCCTCTCTACAGTGCGATGCCTCGGAGACCAGTTCAGGTGGACCAGAGAAACATATCTGTCTATGCTGAGCACTGTGAGAAAGAGCACACTGGCGTACATGTTCATCACGGACACAAACGAGTTAAGCTTACACATGGCAACACCAAAGTCCCAGTGGAAGTCCCGCAGTATGTAATCAATGTAGAAGGGGAGAAAGAGCACAAACACAAAGTCTGCCATGGCTAGATTGAGCAACCAGATACTGTTGACAGTCTTTTTGCTTTTAAACGCTGTCACCCAAATGACAGTTCCATTTCCAATCAGACCAAGCACAAAGGAAATGATGTAGATGACCACTGAGATGATGTGCATGGTTTCTCTCTGCCTGTGTTCTACTTTAAGTTCCTCCAGGTCGCCGTACTCCAGGTAGTATTCATAGGTGTAGTTTCCATAGTCCTCGCTGGAGTCACCCATTGTTTCGAGGATGCGGTGAAGTTATCTGTGGGACGTTCATGATAAGATTAAGATGATCTGGAAACACAGTATCCTTAAAATCTGCATTATAATCAGCCTATAAAACAGTTCCTCACCTCACACTTGTGATTATGCTGGGCTGTTCTCCAAAAGGATCCAGTTGGCCTCTTACGATCATTCAATTCCTGTGTTGAATTTAGGACTGGGTGTGTCCTGACTAACCCTGGAACATAGTGTTAACATCTATTTGGATCAACAACACTGAGATGCCCAACAGATGAGGCAGAAAGAGCCCTCATAGGATGATTCATATTCTTTGTTTTGCACTCTGTTTTACGATGGCAGAACTGGCAGATATAGTATTGTTGCACAATTCATAAATGTTAATCTTTCCAAAGACTGTTACCAACCAAGCAACTGGGTAAAAGGTTAGACTTTTTCACACATCAGCAATATTTGTATCATTATCAAGGCCAGAATGAAGCACATTCTACAAAATTCTACATTTTTAAATCAAATTTAGCATGAATGTTTGTGGTCTGAGGTGAATGTTTGTTGTTGCCACTGCAATAATACAACTGTATTCATATGTAGCTGAAAAGATCAAGTAAACAATATAATAAAAAGAAGGTTAAAACTTAAATTACTACATTAATAATACACTTTTAAACTCATTCTCAAAAAAGAAAAAAGCTGCATAACTGCATAGTCCTTTAAAAATGTGAAAGCTAGTGTAGATAATATCCGATTAAACAAGAGATAAACCCGTTTATAAAAAAATATCTATCCAGCTAACTTAACTTAAAAGAGAAAAAAGTAACTTCTAACATTACATTTCTTTACATTACATTACTACTATTAGACTGGACAGTAATAATAAAAAAAAACACTACAACACATAGGCTACACATATATTGGCACACTTTGAAGTGATCCCCCCCCCGTTAAGATGTGAAAGAGGGTGCATCGCTTACCCTCCTTGTGTAAAAGTGTCTGGATGCAAACACCGACAGCTCCCGGATGAAAAGTGGCTGCTAACTTAGCCTTCTAGCCTCCGCCTCGCTGGGCCTTGCTCCGTGACTTCCCACTCGGCTGCAAAAACTCTTTCTGCAGCTTTCGGCATGTGTTGTCTTTCCGTGAGTCCATCCAAGTTAAAACTCCGTTAACTGTGCGTTCAGAGCAAAGGGCTCAGAGGAGTGGAGATGTGCGGTGGGCGCGCCCCGGCTGACGCGTCAAACGTGAACCACAGGATGAAGAAAAGTTATTGGTCACCAGCACGGAATGAAGAATGCTTTTCATTCAGAGGAGCTGCCTGCGGCTGCTTTTCATAACAGCGGGGTACAACCCTCAACTCACGCTGTCCCCCCTCGGTGAAATACACGGAAAGGTTTTTAATGCTGCAGATATATTTTTTTTTCCTCTCCCAAAATGGACAAATATTGCTTCAGTCAGCGGTTAGGGCCAAACGTCATTTTCCCTTCTGCATTTGAGTTCCTCTTACAAGTCCTGATTGATTGGTGTACAGAGAATAAACTTGTGGCAGGCCTTCTGTGTGTTACTGTGAGGGCAGGCTTTAAGTGAGTGGTGGGACTGTACTTAAGTACAATTTTGAGTTACCGAGGTACTGCATTTTATGCTACTTTATACTTAATATGACTAATTAGTGTACTTTTGACTCCAATATGTGTTGAAATTATCCCCTTTACCAGCTGCAGTGCTATTGATGCACACACATTAATGCATCAATAATTATTAATATATAATAATTGCATAATGAATACTTTTACTTTTGGTACTTTAAGTATATGTTTGTTCTAAAACTTACAGGATGTACTTCTACTTAAAGCAAAAAAAAAAAACTTTCATGGTGTGTTAATTTTGGTGGCCCCTGTGGGCAATATATGTTTCCACAGCCTTGTTTCATTGATTTCAAGGGGAATCCGACAGGCACTGCAGTCAATAACAATAACTATATAGACATAGCCAGCCTTCTCGCTGATGGTTTTGTTTGTTTATGTATTAGAGGAACCACCAGTATTAAAGTGAGGCTGATTTATAACCAGTGTAATGGAATTTTCTTAAGAACCCACATTACCCTTTGATCTGTTCATTGTAAAACCTTACACAAGAGGCTATGAACTTGTCTCTAACTACACTCTAGTCTATGCTAAAGGATGTTGAGCCTTCGCTGAACTTCCAAGGACATGATAAGAGCTATTGTTACACCGCACTGTTGTTCCAAAACTCAGGAATGTGTAATTGTGTTAGATGGCGCTCACAGTGATAAAGAGATCCTGCCTCTTTGAACCTTCACATACAGGAGTGTGTGAAGGTTGCCTTGAGTCCTTCCATGGATGCTTTGTATGCTTTAGCCAGTTATGTAGGTTTAAGGAAGAATTTGAATGCATGCCTTTGACTTGTAATAGAGTATTTGTACACTGTGGTATTGCTACATTTACTCAAGTAAAAGAGTGCTTCTTCCACCACTGCTTATTGCACTCTCAAATGATTTGATACACAACTTAAAGTTACAGTGTTATTTCTACCCTGTTTTCAGACATAACATTTATGTTTGACGATTCTGCAAACAGCAGATTGTGTTCTGTGCCAGCATTTTAAACGTTATTTATTTATACAATATATAATAATATAGTGTATAGCAGCTACAGCATGGTTATGGTTAGGTTACAGTTATTTACTACATTTACTGCTTCCATAAAGGCGGGGGACTTGTGAAAGATGGTCTTTTTTTGGTCTAAATTGATATCAATGTGTCTGATATTTCTCAAACTTCATCCCCGAGTTAAAAATGTGAAGTCTCAAGCCCAAGTACAGATAACAGGCTTATCTAACGTTGTAATGTGTGTAACATGATTGAACTGCCCCTTTAAATCATTTATAACTATAATGCCTATGCATGGCAGCTACAGCATGGTTAAGGTACGGTTAAAGGGGACCCCAGAGATGATAATGTACTTCTATAAAGTTAGGGGACTTACAAGAGAGATTTTAAAAGTGAATGTCCAAAAAAGGATGAAACAGAGGCTGAAATATCATTTTGAATTCTGATCCAACACTACACTATACAACTTATAATAACTTTGTTAGACTCGCTCTGTCTGGTATGTCATGCCCCAGTCTGTAACACAGGCTGTCTCTGTTAAAAACTTGACACCATTTGTAAAAAAAAATACCGTACCAAACTTTGGCATTGGAAGTAAAGTCTGTGATCTAAATATACAGCAGAGATGTCTAAAAAACAACCACAAACCTTTGTAGAAGAGAGATTAGTTGCTATTAAATTAGTCAAATTAATTAGTCAAATTTAACAACAACAAAGGTCCCAAACTGACCTGAGGTTGGACTAACAAAAAGACTTATGTGTTTTGTGTGGATTACTCATCTCTTTTTGTTTATTGTCTCAGTTGTCTTTATCTCCAGTGACCCAAAACAACCATCTCATCCCTCTGTGGACCATTCAGCCCTGAGGGAGAGGCCGTCTCATCCTCCAATAGCTGGGTGTTTGTGTAGCATTACAATCAAAACTACAAGTCATACGGGCGTGCACTGATAATAGTCCGTGGCTCATGGTTAGTCCATGTCCCCACTGAGACCTCTCACCACAATCATCATCATTTCAATACCAGCATTCATGCTTTTCCCCACGTACTACGTGAATACATGAATCATTTCTTTTCTTCCTCTGTCTTTTCTTTCTTTCTCATTTCCTTATATATTTATTTGCTCAATTGTGCCACTAAAACACGTTCTACCCATGTTGTAGAAATAACTCCAACATACATGGTACCTAAAGTTTGAATCAAGTTTTTATGGACTATTACTGATTCCAGTGTTTTTGGAATAATGTCCATACTCAATATATCTCCTGCCGGGTTATGTGGACAATTTCTGAGCAGTCAGTCAGACTTATAATAACAGGAAAAGCACAGGAAAAGTTTAACTAATCTCATTAACACTAACATTGACAATAACACTTCAATGTAAACATCCAGTTGGTTTTCTGCACATCTAATCTCAGTTACAGAAACAAGCAGGAAACGTCGAAGCAGACCAATCACGCCCTCGACTTGACCTGTTCCAACTGCTCCCTTCTGGTGGGCGCTCAAGAGCCCTGTACGCCAAAACAACCGGACACAAGGATATATTCTTTCCATCAGTTAACTACTTGTACAACTACTTGTGTATACATAATAGGTCTATGCTTTTTTTTTTACCTGTCTACATTCAGTTTTGTTGTCATTGTTTTTAACTGTATGCCTATTTCTGCCTTCTTGGAATGGCGTGTAAGTAAAAACTGAGTCACATCCCCTGTATGTGTACACATACTTGATTCTAATGGCAATGCAGACTTTAAGATTAGTTTGTTGACTCTGAGCTGTGGAAATGTTTGCTGTGGATAAACTCTATCGAGTGTTGTCTGACATTTGGTCTTCTCTGTGAATATCTATCTATCTATATTGTTTAGCAGCTTACCTTACTGTTACAGTGATAGGAGAAACTCTGGTGCTTTATATACATTAGCCCATATAAGTATAAGTATAATAGTTCTCCCTGTATCTGAGGTGGATAGCTAGACCTCCTGCAACATAATGGCCAACAGGTTAAAATTGGCCTGATGTGCTATCAGCCCTTTTTCATCAATGTCATTTTGACATGTCACAGTAGGTGTAAATAACACAATTAGTGATGGCTGTGTTACATTTAGCTGCTCCAGAGACAGGGTCCTGGTGTTGTGCGTGCTGGCTCACTGTCACACAGTCATGAGTCAGCATTACTTACTGGGACTGTTGAATAAAACAGAGCCTTCGTTAATGTTATTATTGACACCTGTGATTTTCCTACTATGACTTGTGAAAATGTCTGCTGTGAAAAAGGCCTACTGGCAAATCAATATACTTGCCTAATACCTGCAATGAGTACAGCACTTACTGCGGTCTGTTCTTCTATAATAACATTTACTCAGATACTTACGTATGAAGCCTATTTTATTCTATTTTATCTTCTGCTTCACCACATCTCAGAGGGGAATATTGTTATTTTTACTACAATACATTCACCTGACAGCTATTAGTTTGTAGTTATTATGAATATCAAGATTTTACAAATAAA